GTAGATATGGGACGCTATCAAAGGACGGTTTGACTAGTCGAAGAATATGATTAGGGATGGTTTACGAGTAGTTTTGAATCAAGTCGTTTTTACGTCTCTCGACCCTGAACTCTAGACGGGACTGGTATATTTTCAATTCTTGCGATTGCCTTTCTAGTTGGCATGCTTCTGAAAATGAATTCCTAGCTCCGCTTCAATGTTCCACTTGCCTCGTAAGCAACCAAAAGACCAGATAGAAAAAAAGTTCTCTTTCCTTAACCATTTTCTCAGCCCACATCATAATGTCGAGGGTTTAGCGGTTTAGTAGTGTGGTGAGATAATGGGTAGGTTTAGGGGTTGGATGGGATTACTTGAGGTTTTGTAGGAAACGAGTTATTAGGTGGGATGTTTGCTTGCGTGTAAACAGATGCTACTGTATCAAGGGAATGGATGAAGTTTGACTATAAATCTTTTGAGACTCGTTTATGTCGCACATCTTATTCCATCAAATCCTCATAATTCCTCCAGTAAAACCAAACTCGCGCCCCACAGCAAATCACCAGACTCAAGCCAGCGCCATCCCAGCTCTAACTCCCCCATAGACCCCCTTTATTCCAAAAACCGCCCGTACCAATCTCCCTTAGGACTCCTCCCCAGCCATCTCCTCCACTTCTCTCTCCCAACCTCCTGATCCCCAGACTCAAACTCAGCCGCAGCCTGCCTGGTCATAAACACAAAATCCACCTTGCGATTCCTCCGCACAACCCGCGGGATACGCGGCGCCATGTACGAGGCAAGCAGTTCGTAGAGCCAGAGGCCGTTGTGGTATTCGTTGAGATCGACGATGCCGTGACGGGACCAGTGGATGCCGTAGAAGAGCCTACTGGTGAGGCCGAGACAGGTTGAGGAATTCTTGTCGCTGTAGACAAAATTAGCATGCAGGCACTAGGTTGGTCTTGCATTGTAGTTCCCGCAGCTTGTATTTGAAGGAGGGGAGGGGAAGGGAAGAAGTTGATCTGGACTGGGCTTACAGATAATCAAAGACCTTGAGTTGGAGCTCTGCAGGTATGTTTGTCAGAAGACTAGCTATTCTGCTATCTGATGATGCGTCGCTGAGCCTCGCGCCATCTATGAGAATCCTCTGGTCCCCGAAGATCGAAATGAATTCCGCATCTTCAATTCTGCAGACTTTGTTGATTCTGATGATTTTGCTGATTTTGCTCATGCGCTTATTTTGTTGTTTGTTGCGGAGGCGTAATGTAGCGAACATCTCGCAGATTCGTCTATAGAGGTCTTTCATCCGCGTAACGAGGGAGATGTGTTGTTGAGCCATGTATGTTGGTCATGAACGTGGCGTTCATGTGGAGGTTGTCGTTTTGTCAGGCTTTGATTTGAGACTATTTAAAAGATCCACGACGCCTGATTCACATAGAAGTCAGCGGGGATGCTCACGTGGTCTACTCCCATTTTGTATATTCACTCTTGATATGACGTCGGAGAAATGCTTTAATGGGAAAAAACGTTTAAGGTCTCAGTATTTATGCAGATATAGCCGATGGTATGGATCTGTTCGTGCTTTATATAAAGCTTCCACCTTCGGAATGCCTTTTACACAGGACTTACGTGATATATCATATGACATGACAGCCTTGAAGATCTAGCAATGTACTCATTTGTGAGGAAACTTGAGATGCAGAAATTTTTGCAAGAACGGACCTGGGACTTGTAGATGGGAGGACTCGGAGGAATTTCTGCCACTACTAGAGAATACCACTGCTACAGAACTAGAAATAGTGCAAGAAGTAAATTGCCTTCCCTTCTCTATAACTACAATTGCAATTTAACGAACAAATTTGTCAGAAATGACTAAACCTAGGATATCAAGAACTCTTTAAATCATAATATACTTCCAACCAGAACAATCAAGTCATTCTACGCCCACCGCATTGATTTTGCTTAAAATGGCATGCAAAACTCTTAAAATCTAGCCCAACAAAGTGGATACTAGTAACTAACAAGACCGAAAGGCTGAGAAGAGATATTTATGCAACACAGATTCGCTGTAAGGGGGGTAGTTACCGTCCATCACATGACTGCATCTCGGGATACACCGTCATCTGAGGTGAGACGGACGAGATTCCGAGAACTTCGAGAAAACCAGTACAACACCATATTTCGTTCTTCTCCCCAAATTCGAACACTTTCCCTTGGGACTTGCGAGATATGACTCCTACTTATGAAACCCCCATAGAATATAGAAACCGATCAGGCGCGAGACAAAAGACCTGGGAAGCTGCGAATGCCAACGAAGCAAGAGTGGCAGATTCAGCCTCACAGAACGGTAGGCAGCCTCGATATTTGTACCTTGGATTTCTACTAATGCATACAACCAGCAATGCCACCAATTCTCAAACTGCCAGTCGACATCCACTTTGAGATCATCAAATACCTGGATCCGGTCGATTCAGCTTGCTACGGGCTCGCAAGCCGGGAAATCTATCCCGTCCATCGGAAGATCCACGGTAGCGTTTATATGTGGCACAGGTGGCGTTCAGGCACGTTTTACTTCGGCGATAAAGATCTTTTTGATAGATTAAGCGGATGGATGATAGGGGCTGGGTATGTTTGGGCACTTTTATTCAGCGCAAAGATCAAGGGAAGGAAAGGACCGGCGAAAGGATGGGTTGCGCGAAATACACTTAGTTTCAAAGAGCTGGAAAAAGCGGAATCAGCACCGGAACGCCTGCTGAATGTGCTGGAGCCGCGAGCCCTATCTCGTCTACAGGATGGGAGCCAGCATCGGAATGGCACGTGGAAGGGAAATTCCGGATCAGAGAACATTTTCTGGAGAAGATACGTGTCTCCACAGCATCATAGTAAGGACAAAGATGTTGATAACGATGAGTAATCATGGCAGAGGCAATAAGCCGGATGAAGTGCGCAGTTCTTGAACGGGTGGTAATGCGTGCGGGGAAATACTATAAGCTCTCTTCTAGATGCAGGCCATCTTTCGCTTCGAAGATGGTGTATGTACTACGATTTACAAGTGAGTGGAGAATGTCTCTTTATATACATCACTGACTTAATCCCGCAGCAACTCTTTGTATTCCGGGAGGTCCCAATCCTTGACATTCTCCTTCAACATCCACTTCGCCGGATTCATCTTCAGGAATGACATTATGGCCGCCAGATAATTGAAAATACCAACGCCGAGTGGTGTCGCCATGAAGGAGCCCATGAGCCCATCTTCCGAGTCTTCCAAAACACCTTGCTGTACCTGGTTCATGAACGGCCGGAACTTCTCTTCATAAGCCTTCAGTGCTACCGCAAGACCGTCCTTGGTGTCTTCTGCTCCACAATGGCTCCCAATCTCACCAGCGAGGATATATGCCCCCACCATGCTGGACGTGGTTCCCATACCAGTATTTGCCGATGGGCAATGCGCGGCATCCCCAATGAGTACCATGCGGCCTTTCGACCAGCAATCCAACTTAATGAGACCCAAACGCTCGCAGTAGAAATCATCAGCATTCTTCATAGACCTGACGATCTCTTCAGTCTGCCACCCAGCACCATATAAGACTTCAGCTAACGCCTCTTTCTCCTCCTCGGAATTCCCCCTCCGCGCATTTTTGAGCCGTACCGAATCAGTTGTGCCGCCAACATATACCTGTATCTCGTGCGGATTGTGTCGTCTAACCATTATGCCGCGTTTTCCAGTCGCCATAAACATAGTAGCAATGTACCGCTCTCCTTCTTGTACCGGCCGAGGAGCAGTAAAGTATGCCACATACATCTTGCCGCCGCCACACGGATAAAACGCGTCCGTAGCACCGGATCCGAACATCATCTTGCGCGTGTGTGACCCGACACCATCAGCGCCAACAACAAGATCGAAGTTCTCCGACCTGCCATCCGAGAAGTTAATGTCGACCCCCACATCCGTCTCTTCCAACCCCTTAATCCACATGCCGAAAACGTATTTCACTCTCTCTTTCCCAGCATCATACAAAATCCTACATAAATCACCCCTCATAATCTCCCAATCCGTCGTAAAGCTCTGCTCCCCATTTTCCGATTTATTCGCCGGGAAAAAGGCCCGGCGTTTCCCTGTCTTGTCAACGATCTGTAGCCCTTCTTCCGGCGCCGCTTTGGAGCGAAAGGACTTTTCGAGGCCCATTCGCTTCATTACTTCGATTCCGTGGCCGCGGAGATCGATCTGTAAGCCTGTAGCGCGGAGTGAGGGGAAGCGCTCGACAACTGTTATGTCATGGCCTAGTTTCGAGAGCCAGAGGGCAAGAGATGTGCCCGCGATTCCGGCGCCGCTGATGAGGATTTTCATTTTTTTCTTGGGGCTGAGGTTTGCTTGATGTTAGGGAAGGAAATAAGGAGCACTTGTGGTTTCAGTAAAAGGATGGTGGGAGCGGAGCTCTAATAAGTGATTTGATGGTGGGTTGGCCTACATGGATGTCTCGGTGCATAGTCGCCAGTACGCCCGATTATCCCCGAGAGATGATAAACGCGTTGTTGTTCTTAGGAGGTCTCGGCCGAAGGAACGGTTTATGGTGAGTGACCGCGGGATTACTGAAGGGACTCAAGGCATTCAAGTTGTTGAAACCCCTGGCGGTCCAAGCATAGTCTTCATATAGCAAGCTCTGAATCGATTGCCTTCGCTGTTTGGTTACAGCACAGCCTGGAATATTTCAAGGAACTCTGGCACGGCAAGCACAATAGGTTCTTTAAGTTGCATAGTGTTTAAAATCACACGGGGTGTGCGGGGTATACTGCAGAGGGAAGGAAGGGAACTGAACGAGATTACAGCCGCATCCGCTAGAACTTTATGGACTCCTGCGAGAAGCAAACACAAAGCAAGGAAAACTATATTTTAATATCGAGGGTCGATTGTGAAAGTGCAGGAACTCGTCGTTACAAGAAACCTGCATCTGGCAAAAAGGACTCAAAGTTAAAATCCATCCCAAACGCATCCTGCCCATCGTTATAGCTTATTGGGGTAAGCCCCATATCATCAGCAGCCAACAAAACCCCCGCACCATCCCTTGTCAACAACAGATCATGACAGAATTCAAGACTATCCCTCGCCGCCCTCGCGATCCCCAGCTCGCACTCCGCCCCCGTTTCCAGGGCCTCGACCTGAGCCATAACCATACTCAAGAACATATGGCTCTTAACATTCGTCTCACCTTGTCTAATCCGCTCGATCGACAATAGAATCATATCCCTCATATGCTGCTTCAGAAGCTCCCTGTACTGGGAGCTGCGCTGTAGCGTCCCATCGAGGCGTTGACCCTCGACGTACGCGAGAAGCTCGAGACTGATAACAGTGTTTGCGGAGCGGAGGCCTTCTTTGAATAGCCCGCCGCCCATGGCCATGAGGGCGGAAAAGTTGTCGTCGGGCTCGGGAGAGATGATGGCTATGGCTGTTTCGAGGCTGGTTTTGAGGGAGTGGTGGAATAGCGGGTTTGTACGCGTTTTGCTGGCGAATGGTAGGTGTAGGGGGATGAGGAAGCGACGGATGAGATAGTCTAGTAGGTTGCGGTGGAAGGATGTTATGCCGTGTTTCTTGTGTTCTTTCATGAAACTGCTCGATGCACGGCATGTGGTGGTGATTTCCGAGCTTAGCGCCAGGACATCGAGGTATAATATTTCAGGCTTCAAACCATTCAAAAGCTGGAGGATACGGAGACGGGTTGGTATGGAGTCAACTAAAAGGAGCTGCATCGAGGTCATGGTGTAAGTGCTTCTGGGATGAGGCTGAAGCACCGTGGTCGAGTCACATATCTCATCGTCGTTGATGTTTGAAGGTGCCGCGGTGTCAAATTCATCAATGGACATTCTCGGCGGCATAGCCGAGTCCAAAGATGACTGTATTAGCATTTCTAGAATAGTGACCCACATCCTCCTTCGAACTTCTGCTTGCATTATTGCCATTGGTGGGAGGTATTTCGGGTCTCGATGTAAACCTATTTGCATGGCTCTATGGACGAGCGAACCCATTGACATCCACACCAGGTCCCCGCCAACTGAAAAGATTTCTCGAGCCAGGATTGTCAGACAGTGTATTTGTAGGCCGTGGATGTCTAAGCGGTCCTTTTCAAGAGGCCCAGAGAGCCACATCTGGGCAGCGTATATCCATTGGTGAACCATATTGCGCAGCCCAGGATCAGCGTCTTTAGGCTTGTAGAGACTTGAACCTATGCAAACTACAAGAAGGACTTTAAGACGTAGGCCCATGCTCGCACTCTCCGGATGAGCCCAATATCTCTGGTACTCTGTCCAGAACGTAGGTACATGGAGGATCCGGTGGGTGGACTCGAATGATTGGAAATACAATACTGCCAGCGTATCGGCAAATTCACGGGATGGGGCGTCAAGGCCAAACCCAGGGCCAGTGAGGGTTCTACTGGGCCGTCCTACCTTGAGGCTCCTTGCGATATTCTTGCATTTCTGGAGGAGGTTGCTAATCTGGATAACCAAGGTTTCATTTTCCGTATCTAGCGACGAAACTCCATCGCTGCTGCCGGGAGGTTGAGTATAAGCTATGAAACAGGCAATGATTATTCTAAACTTTCCAAATTATCAGCATAAATTATAAGGGCACGCTTTATTCGGGAATGGTTGGTACCTCAGACTGAGCCGCATCCAATCCGTGGCTCCATCTTATGACTCTCGTTTTATGGACGCTTATTTGCGCATCCTGTAATCCAGACTGTTGGGCGACTAGGTTTAGACTGGTCTCGGATGTTCCATTACAAGGGAGAGATGTCGAAGACGTCTCGAGCCTCTGTACCCGCTGCAAGAGGTTCCGAAGATCTGGCTCTGGCTCCTCCGTGCGGACACGAGTCGGGTGTTGGGTATCATTGCCGCCAATAGTACTATTATTCCGAGTAGAATTTGAACCTGCTCCCGAACCTTCGACTCGGGTTCTGAGTGGATTGTCACTATACTCCGGGATTGGCCTGTCTGTACTGATCTGTCGGGCCTGATCTGAACGCGATGGTGAGGTCGGAAGTTCTCCGCCCGACGGGGTTGGCATGACGGGCTCATCGTCATTTCTGAACACCTTATAAGTGCATTGACTTCTAGATGATACACAATTTACACACGGCTCGCTTCGATCACACTTGATCTTGCGGCGCCGGCATTGAAGGCATGCCAGGGCTGGTCTTCGGCGTCGGCGGGGTTGTCGCTCCATGCCGATGGTGCTTTGAAGTCTCTCGGCCGTAGTGCGGGGGGAAAATCATATAAATGGAAGTATGTTTTATTTTGTAGAGATGCGCGAGGGTATAGCATCAGGAAGGGAAGTCGCTCAAATCAACGCCTTGTGTTAAGTCCGGCTTATTTATCCATACGCAGATTTCGGATATAAGCCGAAATACCATGCCAACGATATTTGATAAATAACGATTACACCGTGTGGGGCAGAAGATGCGAGCTTTACAAGTATGTACCAGTTGAGTTGTTGTTATGGAGTGTTTAAAGAAAGGAAAGATGGTTACTGTCACACCTTGAGGTGGGTGATGTTTCGGCCGAAGTGTGAGTGGATGCCCCGCTTAGGCCCGCTTGTCAAACTCAGAGGTTCAGCCCACCATGTGAACAATCGAAATGAACGGTTAGTAAAGGGAGCTCTGAATGCATAGACAACCTGGCTGCTCGTTCTTATTGTAGAAAATCATAGCTGCAACGTGCTGTCTCCAGAATGGACCCCAAAAATTGGAAACCATTACCCTTGTGGTTCTTCCATCTCGGCACTTCTATTTCCTCCCTATTCTTTAAGCATACAGATATGCCAGGCTCTGAACGGCGCTTATCCAGTGAAATGTTACTTTCATACTCCTGCTATCTAAATCTTTTGCCATACGAACGATATACATAATCTTAGAACTTGTACCGCGGATCACTAAGACATAGCTTTTACTCTCTTCTCCCTATAAGAACAGTTTTGCGCTCCTATGTAGAATTAAATAATAGAAATAGCTACTACATACGACCATAGACTAAGGAGAATTGCGCTATCTTAATAGTCTATAGTAACTCTAGGATTAGATTGGAAATTGTTGATAGCATCTCAAAATAAGATATAGTTTTACGACTTTTTTTCTTTGCAAACAAATCTAACATCCTATTGAAAATACAGGTAACATACACGGGTATATCACGTGGCAGTTGCCTGGTGCACTATAAGTACAAGGACACTTAAAAGTAGAGTTATAAACTTAGTTTTATAATATACTAAATACTAATTCTATTACTACTTAGCTTCCTACTAGTTCTATATATAGTAGTAGTTATTTTCTTAATTATACAATATTCTTTTGATAAGTTTTGGACACCTGCTGTATCGATAAGAAGAATGCGGTCTTTACGAAGAATCACTTCCTGACTATCACACGATTGGGGCCATAATTGAGATCTAATACTCTCGCTATACAGACAGAGAGAGGCAAGCAAATTTCCACGCATCAGACCTTCGTGCCTCCTAACTTGCTAAGCCCTAGGAATCGCAACAGGCCTTAGAATTTCTCATTGGATTATGATGACACCCTCTCTTCTGTGTACAGGTATCTGTTTCAAGAGGTCCTCGTTTGTCGAACACTTGGCCAAAGAGACCTGTGGGATTATTAGCGACAGAATGCCAATCCTTTCCCAACGATCAGCCGCAGGCATTGCTTTTCGCAATGTCAAAAACCGAGCTCGCCCGTGTTCAGATGAAGGGTCCTTGCTTGCAAACATCAAGACACTCATAAGTTCTTTAGAGGCGTGCTTATTCGTCCACTCCTGCTCAGTCATCCGGACTGTCAGACCGATAAAGCAGAGTCGGCCCGCTATTCGATACCATTTCTCGTCCCAGTCAGGGCTTCCTATGTCGTAAAGTTCCCGACCAACCCTGCCTCCCTTTTGTATCCATTTCCACTGTTTCTTGGTTTCTTTACGCACGAAATCCTCCAGTACAAGAGGATCCCTGATTTCAATCAAGTTCGGGGTTCCACTTTTTAGAAGATCTGTCGAGTACGAACTCAGCAGCCGCCTTGGCTGGTCCTGATTGAAGAGATACATGTCTACGGCCCAAAGAAATCGCAGCTTCTCCAACGCAATAAGGTCGCTCATGAAGGCTCCGTGTTCATACTCCGGAGGAGCACGCCAGGTGACGATACCTTTCCATCCTGCCCACGTCCACGATGGCAAATGGCTACGTCGCTGGCTCTCCTTCGACACGAACAGTTGGTGATTTTGATCGGCCCGATGGTACCACGAGGTCACTGACAAGGCAAAGGTAAACTGAGCGCCGTTATGGTCTCCGCAAATATTTCCCAGCCATAGCGGGATCCCGTGAAGTAGGCACAATGATTTATTTTCTTCATACATGCCAAGGATTCCTTGAAACGCTGGCAGCGTGTCCGTGTCATATCTCAACTCTCGTTTCGAGAACGCACGAATGTGCTCATTGAGACCTCTCAACTGCGCGCGGGTGGTCGCCTTGCGATAGATTGGGAACCCGTAGTCTAAGCGGTAGGCCTCATCCTTCAAGATGACTAAGTCGACCTGGTTACTTTGGCTGCCCCCACTATGAGCATCACCTTTGAATATTCCGGTTAACATAAAGTTGGACATGTGGTGTTCATCGCCTTCGGCCAGAAAGAGTGGCATATTGATGCTCTCGTGTGTAGCCATGCCCTGACACTCCCAATATATTTGGTGGTCGGTGAAGACGATGCGGCGTCTGGACAGGATGCCTTCTTGGTAGGTCCAGCCTCGCGTCCAGTGGCAGGATTCGAAAATATCGTAACGGGGATCTGGCATTGTCGAAAGTAGCAAACTTCCACTATCGAGGTAATACCTTGGTTGTGGCTTTCGAGAAGTTGACCGAATGCCTGGGAGGCCGTAGCTCGCCCTCGAGCCAGCTGCCGCCACGATGGTAATATCAGCTTCCTGATAAATAGTCGTCATCCTTGAAATCAAAGCAGCTTTTTCCACATCATCAGACTGATTAATACACAGCCGGTCGACCCACAGATATTGCAACCCGAGCTCCTTTGTTACTGCGACAGCGTCAAGCACAGTCTTGGGCCACGATTCTCCGTCCGCTGAAGTCGTGCCCCAAACGTAGCTGAGAGCCGCATATTTGATCCCCCAAGGCTGCTCTTCCGCCCCAATCAGGGTAGGATCATCCATATTGCAGTCAATGACACGAAACCCTTGCTGAATAGGCTCGTGCGGTATCAGCCGTCCGCAAGTCCCATGGTGGTGCTCTCGACAAGTCTTCAGAAAGGTGCGGACAAGGTCAAGATTTGCGTCCTCACTAACTTCTCGCGCACGCAGTAATATGTTATAATCAAGGTCGCGGGACTCATTCGCTTCAAGTCGATAAATCGCTCCTACAGATGGGATTTCCTTCTCTAACCAGTCTACTTCGTGACCACACGGCGGAATCACCTCGTCATCCGGGACTACGGCCATGAAGACCGTGTCCTTGATCTCATTCCATGTTTGACTGTCTGTTAACACATTACGCCTGAACATCCAGCTCTCGCTGCTGCGAAATGCAAGAAGTTTGTATTGCACATGAGCATCAGGCTGGACCCTTAGTGATCGGAAGAAATCACACAGCGGGCAGTTGGAAGGTCTTGACAATTGATCCTGGAAGTAATGCACTAGAATAGCGTCGTTGTAGAAATGTCTTCCATCCGAGGCCTCGCGTAGATCGTTCGGGTAAGCCACGAATCCATCTCTCACCATTTGGTAAAATTTAGAAGCTTTCTCAAAACTGCGATCGAGGTCGAGCTGTTGACAACGAGCACATAGATGTGATAATACACTAGTCTTTTGACGCTTCTTCCTATGCTGCCTTTCCTCGGTGTCTGGAAAGTCAGGGCTGCTGTTCCTCGAAAGCTGTGCACTCACTAAGGAGGAAGACATATTGTCACACTAGCGTCGGATTACAACACTGAACGATAGAATAGACGTTCGTTGTACAGGAAATGTTAGGTACCACCTTCGCGAACAGATGGAAAACAGGACTCAACGTAAGCATGCCATGTAACGCGGGTCTATGCACCTCCAGTAACGCCCCACCTAAGTTGGGAAACAAGCTAATTGGGGAAGGAGGAGGATGTTGGTTGGCTCGGTCTACGATAAGAAGACACATACAACAAAGGCCTTAAATGGCAGTACATCTAGCTCGTGCAAATGAATCAGCAACTTCTTACATGTTGATATTTAATTCATCTTTTGCACCCACCAACGGTACATGTAACCTATCCACCCACTCTCATTCTATCATGGCCAGTGCGACGCACCCACCCGAGAGACTCAAGGTTTCCGACCCCAATAGTTGGGATACAGCGGCAGCACAATACAACAATGCTGTAGGTCGTAGCTCTTAGCTTGGGGCCATTCATCTGATCTCCCTCACCGAGACGCTGGAACCCCCTCTATTAGCCCCCGGCGCACGTGCGATAGACCTCGGCGCTGGTACTGGCTCTCTTACGTACCAACTCGCTGAGAGGTACCCCCAACTGCCAATCCTCGCCACTGATATCTCGCCAAGCATGCTCGACCAACTGATGGTCAACCCTACAGCCAATATCACTACACAGGTCGCAGATATGCGTGCTCCTGTTGTTGGTGCTGCGGGTGAGGCGTCGTTCTCGCATGTATTCAGCACAATGGCAATCCAACTTCTTCCTGATCCTGCGGCAGATGGCACGCTGATGGTATGGGCACGTTTATTGATCCCTAATGGCATCGTGGCCATTGGAGTTTGGGATTTTGACCAGAACTGCCGGCCGCATGCGCTGTGGGCGGAAGCCGCAGTAGCAGTAGACCCAAGTTATGTCAACCCACCGTTAGTGATTCCAGGGCATTGGAATGGACTTGCTCAACTTGAGGACGGACTAAAGAGAACAGGCTTCCGAGATATAAAAGCTAGATCACAACATATTGGGTTCGATATTGGAAAAGAGGAGTTTATGCGGTTCTTTTGGGAGAGCAAAAATCCCATGACTTTGGATCGACAAGCATCATTCAAAGGAGATCTGGAAAAGGTGAAGCTGGAAATGGGGCGGTTATTAGATGAGGTCTATGATGGAGGAAGGAGTATCCCCTTGTCAGCAGGTTTGGTGGTGGGAAGGAAGCCCAGGGTAGATTGAGTTGTGTTTGGAGATGTTATAAACGTTTTGCTGAGCTCAAGACTTTCGATGGTTAGTTAACTGGTAATTAAATGGAAGAATGTTGACTGAACCAATAAGCTGAGGCAGAGAATGATATATCTAATTGACTATTAGAATAGCATTAGATCTATACTAGCGTTACCCAATTAAAAACCACTCCCTCAAAACTAGCCCATTCTTACTATAACAAGCAGTGACCCTATGGTTGCAAACGCTCTGTCAGAACATAGAAAATCCTATCGAACCCCGATTAGAATACCAGGGTTTTGATAGCGTTTTGACGAAGAAAACCGCAGAAGTACACCGATTCGGTAGAGGAATCTATGTAACTTTTAGTGTTATAACATGGTTTTGATAGCGTCTTTTCAATACAAAATTGTGCACCCTTGTATGTCATTTCACGTTATCTCATATTAATTTATGATAGAAAAATGACTGCTTATTACTATAGAATCTACTCTAGAATGCTCCTCTCTAACCCTACCTCCCAAATCTACCGCTGCTTCCCAAATGTGCAAAACTGCTACTATTCCTGGATCTTGTCACAACTCACAATATACTGCAGCGATATTGGGATTTGAGGGTACAATGATGCCAGTATTGTATATGGTCACATGGCATCTAGCTACAGATGCAGAGTTCTATGTGATCTGCTGACTAAGCAATATAAAGTCCAACAAGCGAGCCATTCAGGGGAAAGCACGTGACAGTACCACTTTTACCCCTTCCACCTTCCAAAGACATTAGACGCAGGCATCTTTCTGCGAACAAGACACTGTTATTATCTTATATATTTTGATAATCAGCTACTGATGGGACATATATTGGATTGGCTCGCGCTCTCCCGTGCTTTAGCGTAGCTTAGTCAGCGAAGAGGCATAACCTTGTGAATCTCTTCGCATCTTTCCCAGTTGGGCTTCAAACCGCAATCAACAATACAGCCACCAAAATCCCAAAATACAGACTTACAATTGTAGTGAAGAGATTACCTTATGATACACAGCAGTTGGCTATTAATTAATTGTTCTTTCTGGTTATTTGATTGAAAGCAGAATCATTGATTCATCCAAGACCCAACTAGCCCAAGAGTCAAGACTTGTGCAGTCCCTATTCCCTGATCTGAGACGTCTTCTTTCATAAACTATTATTAATAGCATATCATATCTTTCTATAAGTGTCAACTCTTCTCCTGTACACTGATAGTAACACCTTTTGTTTCATTTAATCCTCTTCCCTCAGTCGTATCTTGCTTTGCAGCTCTTTTAAGATTCTTCCACTCAATCCCAAGCGTACACAAGAATGCCAGGCCCCCACTTGCCACAGCCAGCAGAAATGTTCTGGACACGGCAAAATTATATGCCTCTCGAACAAGACCCTTTTGCATAACCGGCACCACATTCTGTCCACCAGTCGCTCCCGCTGCCACAATAGCCATAGTACTATCAGCCACCGCCGAATGCTGCAAGGTCCTCACAAGTTCCACCCTGAAGATATTCTGCGCAACAGCAGCAGCCAGCGAGCCGCCAAAAAACGGTGCGAATATCGTCAACGCACTCGAGATGGGGATATCCTTTCTATCGCTGATGGATGCTCGCACAGCAGTGGCGCATAACTGCATGCTGGAGCCGAAGCCGTAGCCTGCGAGGATCTGGTAGCCGATTGGATGGCCGATGTCCGAGGTTATTTTGAGGGAAGAGATGAGACGGCGCCGATTGTGAAGATTGCGGAACCGGTCCACATGAATGGGAGATAGACGCCTAGCATCGTGACGGCGCTTCCAATGACCATCTGGGTTACGGAGAATGTTACAATGTAGGGCAGCATGCGGAGGCCGGAAGAGGCGGCGGATGTGCCTTTGGCGGATTGGAAGTAGAAGGGGAGGTAGAAGGTGTGGACGGTGAGTCCAAAGTATAAGAGTGCGGAGGTGAGGAGACTGAGCGAGAGGCTGCGGTTACGGAAGATCCGGAGGGGTATCGTAGCCCTATGAAGCTGTTAGATGCAACAATATATTTAAAGGTTCATATGATATTGCTTACCTCTCTCCCAAGTGTAACTGCAGAGTGATGAATGCCACAAACAGGAGGCCAGAACCCAGTATCAACCCCCAGACTTTGGAGCTCGACCATGCGTAGTTGGTGCCGCCCCATTGAAGGGCCAAGAACAGGCATGTCATACTTGACACAAACATAACAGTGCCCGTGATATCCATCTCAATAAGCTTTTGCCTGAACGTAAGCTTCGACGGCTTCATCACCGGCGACCTGAACCCCAACAAAAATATAGCTGCCGCTATCCCACCAAAAGCTATCTTCACATCAGCTCACATCCAATGCACACTTTTAGCCTTTTTCAATACCAACTCACGCAAATTGATCCAGAAGCAAAACCTCCACGTCAACCTCGCTACATCCGTGAACAAGCCCCCCAACGGCGGACCGGCCAGGCCCGCCACAGCAACCATACTAGTCAGCGTCCCCAAAAAGATGGAAATCTTATGCAGCGGTATCGTCAACCCGATAATGGTCATACCCCCCGAATGAATCGCGCCAGCACTCGACCCCGCAATCGCTCGCCCAACTATAAAAATCACCGACGATTTCGCCGTAGCACAGACCACAGACCCAACCTCAAAGCCTAGCAAGGCGGCCAAAAAGACGGTTTTGATATCGAAATATGAATATATCTTGCCAAACGTTGGCTGGAGGGCCATCAGCGGGAGTAAGTAGGCGCTGGTGTACCAGCCTATCTGGTCGATGCTGTGGAACTCGGTGCTGATTTTGGGAATCGCGGTTGCTTGTGAGAAATGTTGGTCCAAATTACAAACCAGAAGCTTTTCTCAAGACTTCAGACAAGATTGTCACTTACCAATAATGCTAGTATCGAGGGACATTATGAAGACAGAGAACATCAATCCTACTGTTAATAACAACAAGGTTATGCCCTCGGGGCGTTTCAACTCGCTGGGCGGCGGCGGCTCTGGTCCTGCTTCAACCACCGCCATGTCTTTTTCGTTGCAAGCATTTTCCGGATCTAGTTGCCCTGAACTTGTAACTTGGATTGTGTCATTGGCGCTTTCTTGAATCTCGAGCGAGGACTTGGTGAGATCTATACCAGCTCCTCCAACATCCTTGTCAAATGATGAGGAGTTTGAAGTTTCAAGTTTGACTTGGTCAACACAGACCGTTGGGGATTTCGCGTCACCGATCTCGAGAAGCATAGTGAGCTGGGTACTCGTAACGGTAATTACATTCTGTAAATGTGGCGATGGGCGCGGGAGATTGAAGGAAGAATATTTAAATTTTCTTGCAGGGGTAATTTGCTGTACAGTACCTAGTTGATGATTGATGATTGATAATTGATCCGGTGGAAAGTATGTGAAGGGCTTACTACGACTACGAGTACGAGTAGCGGCCATTTTACTGCAGTTTTCCGGCTACTGCATGTCGGCAGATTATGTGTAACGTTCATCGGGAAAAAGATCCAAAGATGGCAGGAGCTTGCTGACCAATCTTGTTTACTTAAACAGCTTAGAACAATTGCTTTAGCTATCATCTGTCTAGATGTTCTACAGATCAGGATCTCGGTGCAAGCGTGGCACAGCTGCATGTCAGATTATAGTAAAATCTTTGGAGATAACATAATTCTGATTGCGAATACGACATTCGATTCTATTTTCAGAAAACTTTCCAGCACTAGGGATATCATCAAATGATGCGCGTGAGTCTTAATATCGCGTTGGTACTGGAGGCTATTTCCCCGGGCTACTCCTCTTTTTCTTAAGTCTGGCAGCCCCATCTGAAAGTCTACGACTTAGCATAGATATCTAGAATCCTGAAGGTCTAAACTAACCTATTAGATACTATAGACCATCTGTGACAAATTGTAGTATTGTACCAGCTTAAAGGATAAAGTTTTCTTTTCAGAGCCGAAAACACATGTAGTTGCATAGACTTTGCAATTATTAAAAACTAGATTTCTGAATTCACATTACTATAAAATTGTCTAAGATCTATCTGTAGCTAAAATGATCTGGCTTTCTTGTCTCATTAAACAACCGCAGTCCTTACGCTTTACATATTATACCCTGGTCGGTAAGTCTCAACGTCGATCTTCAACCGAGGCGACTAGGAACTCCTTCTTGACTCGGATTTCTGGTCGGCTGGACCTATCATATCCAGAATCAATCGAGCTCGCTTCCTCAAATCTATAATTATCAACTTCATGTGTCCGTGAAGATACTATAGTCTTCTGGCTCCCATCCTCAAGACGCTCAAAGCCGCTGTCACTGAAGCCAGTCTTCCGTATAGATTGCAGCTCCGAATCAACACCTTTCATAGTCCCTCGAGAGCCACCAGTGCGCGAGCTACCAATCGTTTGTCCGATTTGCTTGCGGGCTGCTTGGAAAAGGGGCCGGTAGAGGGGAAAGCATGCTGCCATGAGATAGGTGCTTGCTTCTAGCATGGTGAGGCAACCGAAGCTCACAGCATTCCAGGTTGAATCGGCCCTACTCGTTCTAAACAAGACAATCATGCGAGCGATACAACTAAAGATACCACTAAATCTCAAGTTAGTTCCTACTCTCAGAACTTGCCAAGTTGAAATGATACAAGATTCACTTACATACTACCCGTTGCAAAGGTGACCCCTAAACCAATTTTGTCTTTCGTCGGTAGATGGAGTTTAGATAGGGCAGGGAAGGGCAAGACGAACATGCCAACATCGACAATGATGTTAGGTAAAGTTGACCATTGCCAGAGCGAGTTTGCAGCTATACAGTGTCCACCTGGATGGCCCTTCTTGTCCCATAAATATGCCAGCGGAATACATTGCACCGCACATGCAACAATTATAGATATTCCTGTGGCGCATACTAGTCCAATAAAGACGAAACATGTCCTTCGATGTGAGGGTTCAACGAATATATTGAGATATAGGCAGAGGATTGCCAGTTTTGGAAAAGTAAATCCTAGTACGTAGGTGAACTCGAAGGAGACTTGGATCTTTGCATATGTTATCAAACTGAGCGGCTCATGTTTCTTCACCCATGCGAGATGGTGCCCAATGTTTGCCATTCTATACAGTACTGGTCGTTTTGTCAGACCCTCTGAAGTAGGAATTGCTCCTAATAATGACTTACAAATTGCTTCTATTGCTAGTCCAATATTGAATAACAGACCAAGAAGAACCAGATAGTCATTCAGCTGAGCTCTCGTGCCTTTCATTGCTCGCGTGTAGATCCGTAGGCCCACGAAAGCGACATCTAGCACAATAAAAGCGATGGCTACATTCTGAAGAATATAGCCATGATCCGTAGCGTCCGACGCCAAAGGTGTAGCAGTTGGCATATTCAATAGGTAGTCAATGAAAATTATGAAAGGCGAAATTATTCAGCTCAGAATCGGAGGGCCTTGAAAACGACGTATGAATGGGCCTTTGTAGAGTAAGTGAGAGGTCTGGACTATCCAGACTGGACGTGGATATATTTACAGGGGCGCAGTCACCCATCCTGCATTCTACTATATGAATCCTACTGCATTTTAAGTTCCGACCTGGAACGTCGGAAGTCAGGTACTATAATTCTTTCTGCAAAGTACTGTAATCCCGGCACCCCAGGCTCTCCTCCCTCCCCCTCCCACCTGCCGAATCCGGCCTTGAGGTGAACGGAGAAACTATTTTCCCGCACGCATCCCAGCGGGTATGGTAGCATCTGTGCTGTGCCGCATGCATATTGGATATTAAGACGCATTTACTAGTTTTATTGAACAGGCCTATTCACCGGGGTCTGAATGTTACGTTCATGCAAGCTGCAAATTTCCTGCTTCTCTTATTTCTTTGGACACTTCCATGCTGTACCTCCGTATTCCCACGTTTTTCTCCAATTCTTTAAACGCCAGTGCCACCACACCTTCCTTACCTTACTTTAGGCACAATGCTCGCCTCAGTCAACCTTCCGAGCATTGCGCTTTACATAGCACTGTTCGCATCCTTTGCTTTTGGTGCAAACCTTAACCAACCTCGAATAGCTTGCGCTATGTTCAAGTGCAATGGTGCTACTCGCTTTCCCCCTCTCTCACCCTCCAACAACAACCTTAATGCGGCGCAGTTGGTCCAGTACGAATTTCTTATCAACACGACAAAGAAGATTTACGGGGACACCATTATCACGGAAGGTCCTGATGGGTCACTTCAAGGCCCCTTTAACCAGTTGCTGTAAGTACTTTTTTCTTATTTAGACTTACCCTTAGATATACTAGCCAAAGATCAATAGTTAATAAGATAAACAGCTACACGCCTACCATTATACAGGCCTGGACCGCTCAACAAGTGGGCGTCGCCGGTTTATTGACCTCAAGGGAAAACGAGGCCGCCGTCCTTGGAATCCTATCAATCAATAGAGCTACATATGGACTCTACGCGCATACGCTCTTAGCCCAGAAAGCCGGGTTCACGTTGGAGCAAGTCTTATCTATGTTGGCAGGTTACTGTGCAATTGGCATCTCAACACGTGAGAGCGCCATCTATAACCTAGCTGTCAAGCTAGCCCAGATGAGGGGACCGTTAGACCAAGCATCCTATAACGCTGCCTTTACTGTACTAGGACATGAAGGTGTTGAAGCTACCATTCAGCAGTCTGCTGCCTTCTCTTATTCGGCTATGATGTTGAATGCTGGGGATGTGTGTGTGCCCCAGGGTGCGGGGTGTTGATTTGACTTGGAAGGACAGTCTGTCTTGTTAGGTTGCGTTTTTGACAGCACATTTAATATGAGAGAGAGAGGGCTATGATTCATTGACCAATTTGGATTTGGTAACAACACTAGAGAATTTATTAATTTCTAAACCTCAAAAATAAACAATCTAATTAGCCGATTGCTTCTTAGTTGCCAATGTTTAAGAAGTGATGTTGTTCAGTCCTTTACATATTTAAGCCGGAGTAATCAATATGACTGATCCGCCACCAACGTACATCTCCACCCAACTTCATTCACAATCTCAGATCGAACCACACCAGATCAAATCAGACCAGATATCAAGTCGTACCATACAGTGAGTCTGGAATGGGATTGGTTGGATTGGACGATCGTTCCCGACCCGGATATACCGAGGGAATCCTAATGCAAATCGTCCGAGCTTTCAGCACGTACAGTAAAGTTACGAGGATCTATATCTGCGCGAATCCTTCCTTTTAGTGAGATCCAGGGGTGGGGTGGCATAGGTCTTTAGCGTTCGGAATATACCTTAAGGTAAATTTTCCTAGATTCCGATTGATGGATCGATGATCCCAGTGGGCCAGTGCAGCTCCATGTGGGCCGATATAACGCCATAATTTGCTGCTCTGTTAATCCTCCGCCTACCTACGAGCTACTGTACTTCGTAGTGTAGCATCACTAGATCCTTTCTCTAATATTATCCTAACGGTCCTACATATACTTCGCCGCTCTAGTACTTGGCATCCACCTTTAGAGTAGTACCTCCGTACGCAGAAAGTAACTCTACCACTGAAAATGCCTCACCACTGCAAAGCACAAGATTGGTTTGTTTTCGCCAGACAACAATAGTATAGGCAGCAACGTAACTCCGGCTATGTATTATCCAACTTAGAACACCTCTAGCCCTGCCCTGAATTCCATGACAGGGCATACCTAGGTAGTCTATGCATTTCTTGAAAAAATTAACTACCAGTAGCTAATATTGTATATTGTTCACGAAAACCTGTGCACGTAGAAATACTTTCACGTAGTTGCATAATACGACTTACAGCCTTTCTTCCATGTCCAGTGTCCGGCTCTCTGTTATTTACTTCTTTGTTCAGTTGCGATCTCTAGTTTCGAATGAAAAATGGCCGATATCCCACGACCAATAGCAGTCATTGGGATTGGGTGTCGCTTTCCAGGCGGCGCCAACAGTCCCGAAAAACTATGGGAAGTTCTCTCTGAAGGACGAGATACCTGGTCGGAAGTCCCGGAGGGAAGATTCAAGTGGGAATCTTTTCATCACCCGGATCCTGAAGCACCGGGAGCTCACAATCACCGGGGTGGCCACTTTCTCGACGAAGACATTGCTGCTTTCGATGGGAGATTTTTCGATATCCCACCTCAAGAATGTGAAGCGTTAGATCCTCAATTCCGCCTTCAATTAGAAGTCACATACGAAGCAATAGAAAATGCAGGCCTTCAATTGGAACATCTCGGTGGTTCCAAGACCGCTGTCTACGTCGCTACTTTTGGACAGGACTATGCGGGGATGCAGGACAGAGATCTCGATACCATTTCAAAGTATTACATGACCGGGAGAGGCTTGGCGATGGCTTCGAACCGTATCTCCTATGCGTTTAATCTTAGAGGTCCATCCGTCACCTTGGATACAGGTTGTTCTGGAAGCATGGTAGCAATTCACCAGGCTTGTCAGAGTCTCAGAGTTGGGGAGGCCAAAATTGCACTTGCTGGTGGTGTGAGTTTGATAATCACTCCTGACCTGATGGTTCCTATGAGCTCGATTGGGTATATCCCCCTGTCCCAAACTCCCAGGAGAACCTCGGCTAACCAAGCAAAAGTGTGCTAAACAAGAACGGGAAAAGCTATTCATTCGATAGTCGGGGTGCAGGTTATGGTCGTGGAGAAGGTGCTGCAATGATTGTTCTCAAAAACCTGGATGATGCTATTAAAGATGGTGATAATATCAGGGGCATCATCCGAAACTCGGGAGTTGGTCAAGACGGCAAGACGCCCGGAATTACCGCGCCGAGCCGAGAAGCGCAGCTAAATCTCATCCAATCCGTGTACCGGCAGGCAAACCTCAACCCCCACGAAACCAAGTACGTCGAAGCACACGGTACTGGAACCATAGCTGGAGATGGTAAGCAGCAACTGTTTTTGTAGATTCATACACATTGCCTTAGTAAGGTTCGGTAGGATCTACGCTCACTTCCTTACAGGTGCTGAGATCGCCGCTATCCGTGGAGCTTTTGCCAGCGATGATTCTACTCCTGTACATGTAGGATCTGCTAAGCCGAACGTTGGGCACCTGGAAAGTGCAAGCGGCGTTGCTGGTCTAATTAAAGCCATCTTAATGCTGGAGAACGGTGCAATTCCCCCCAGTATCAATCTAGTAGAATTGAAAGAGAGCATTCGGGGATCCGATATATCCGTGAGTTCATATATTCGTCAACCCAGATAGCCAAGCTGATGCAAAACAGATACCTACCACACTCGAGTCATGGGACAAAACAGCTTTGCGTCGTATATCCGTAAACAGTTTTGGCTACGGAGGAACAAACGGCCACGTCATCTTAGACTCAGCATCGACAGTAGCACATCTGACGAACGAGCATGTACAAAGCCTATACCACGAAGAACCGTACCCCCAGGTCCTTGTACTGACCGCTAAGTCAGAGGAATCATTAGTCAAGGCCTTCGGAAATTTTCAGCAATGGTTGTCTCAGAATTGTGATATTGGAGGTGATGCTTTTCGGAATCTAGCCTACACCCTGTCAACTCGTCGCTCCCTTTTTCGATGGAGATGCAGCTTCACAGGCACATCACCGAAAGACGTTCTGTCACGCTTGAGTTTGAAAAGTCCTACGCCAACGAGGTCGGTAAACAAGACCCAGAATGTTTTTGTTTTCACTGGCCAAGGCGCTCAATGGTTCGCCATGGGCCGTGAACTTCTAGGTTTTGACTCGCTATATTTGAAGTCTATTCGTGCTTCGGACAAGATTTTGAAGGAATTAGGGGCTTCTTGGAGTTTAATTACCGAACTTTCAAGGGACGTCTCAAGCTCGAGGGTGAACGAGAGCCAGATCGCCCAGCCAGCTACAACTGCTTTACAAATTGCCATTGTTGATCTTCTTTCATCTACGAATGTTCATCCTAATGTGGTTATTGGTCACTCAAGTGGCGAAATTGCTGCCGCATATGCAGCAGGAGCTCTTAGTCAAAGATCCGCTCTGAAAGTTGCTTACTACCGTGGACTCCTCCAAGTGACCAGATCAGTGAAGGGAGCAATGTTGGCTGTGGGATTGGGTGAGAAATCTGTATCCCAGTACATGTCACAAGTTACATCTGGAAAGCTTGTCGTTGCTTGTTCTAACAGTCCCGAAAACTCTACCGTGTCCGGCGATGAAGCTGCGATACTCGAGCTGAAAGGAATTCTAGATACGGCCTCAGTCTTTGCCAGGAAATTAGCTGTCGATACAGCTTACCATTCGCACCATGTCGAATCCGTTGCAGACGAATATCTACACAATTTAGCTGGACTAGAACACACTTCCACGACATCTGTGCGATTAATTTCTTCTGTTACCGGAGAAGAGATGACCTCTGGTTTTGGGGCCGAGTATTGGGTCGATAATCTTGTCTCGAAGGTTCGCTTTCAGGCCGGGTTAGTGGAAGTATGTCGTAAGGAATCAATGGTTTCTCCGCAGGCAAGACTTACATTCATTGAAATTGGGCCTCACAATGCCTTATCTGGTCCTTTGAGGCAGACTATGTCATCTTTGCCATTGTCTACGGGATATTCCAGCGTTTCTGTTTTGGCCAGGAATAAGGACGCACGATATACTCTTCTAGAAACACTTGGAAAGCTCTTCGAGCGTGGCTCTTCAGTGAACATAAATTTTACAAACTTGCTCTTCGAGCCTAATTTGCATCAAAAGCTGCTGAGCAACTTACCAAGCTATTCATGGGATCATTCAGTTACACACTGGCGCGAATCACGGCTAAGCAAAGCCCATCGATTCCGCAGGTACCCACACCATGATCTTCTTGGTTCACGAATTCCAAGCAGCACGAGCCTGAACCCAGCGTGGCTGCACAACATCGGCGTTGATCAACTCCCATGGTTACAAGAGCATGTCATTGACGGCTTCACAATATTCCCCGCCTCGGGATATATATCTATGGCCATTGAGGCGACGTTGCAATCGAGCTTCGAGAAGCATGGTTCTGTCAATATCTCAAGCTATGATTTTAAAGACATCAAATTCCCCGCAGCACTGTTGATCCCAGAATCTCCTGCTTGCGTCGAGATACAACTGAGTCTCAATACCATGGACAGTCTGCAAGACAACCGAAAGTCGAAGTGGGAAGAATTCAAAGTCGTTTCTGTCTCAGACCAGGGAACTAGTATTGAGCATTGTCACGGGTCCATAATGGTGCACTTTTCAACTGAGTTAGATGAAGTGGAAGGTGCGAGAGAGCAAGAGCTCAATTCATCTGCTCAAGTCACCCGTTTGGGTGAATTGAAATCAATTTGCAACGAGGAACTGGATCGCTCAGAATTCTATCAAGATTTGAAATCAAGAGGCAACAGCTATGGCCCAAATTTTGCCTGTATAAACAAGATCAGACTTGGCAGTACAAATGCCGTGAGCGTCATGAGCATTCCCGATACATCTCAATGCATGCCAGCTCGGTTTCAACAACCCCATGTCATACATCCCGCGACCCTCGACGCTTTAATGCACCATCCTGTGACAATATTCAACCGGAACACAAAGGCCAGCTCTTTTATGATTTTCGGTGTCGATGAGCTCAAAATCTCATCTCGTCTCGCCAGCGAACCCGGTACTACGTTAACGCTAGCTACCACAACTACTGGCTGCGGGTCAAGGTTTCCGTCGGCCGACGTTTCTGCATTTCAGGCGGATTCTAATCCCTGCTCGGGACCCGTGATTCAAATGAAGAACTTGAAGCTCCGTGCTACTGGGGTTTCATATGAAAATATGCCCGATGGAGATTGCGAGCGTAACATAAGTTACACCATGAAGTGGGACTTGGATGCTGACCATATGGCGTCTTCCATGTTTATACCTGGCCCAAATTTATTCGAAGCTGATAGAGCACAAGAGCACAAGCTAGAACTCTTGAATCAAGCAGCGGCCATTTACGTTCGCTCTTGTGTTGAAAAGCTCACGGTCAATGGCCCGCCCAAGCTTCCCGGGCAGTTTCCGCATCTTTTCAACTGGATGAATCGATTTCAACAATCCGAAGAATGCAAATCTTTGCTCCAGGGCGTTTTGGACACCAACGTAGAGTCAATCCTTGAAAACGCCCAGAAACTTGAGGTGGAGGGAGAGTTGCTCGGGCGAGTGGGTCCTGAACTTGAGGCTATTCTCACAGGAAAAGCCGACGCACTTTCCTTGATGACAGAGAATAATCTGCTTTACCGGCTGTACTCGGACGATGCGTCTTCTCGTTGCTACAGTCATGTACACGCATATGTGAAGAAACTCGTTTTCAAAAACCCAAACATGAGAGTCATTGAACTGGGTGGTGGGACTGGTTCAACGACTAGTCCTTTATTAGAAGCTCTCAGTCCGGATGGAGTTTTGCCATTCGAGAAATATGTTTTCACTGACATTTCCTCTGGCTTCTTTGAACGTACGAGAGAGCGTCTAATAATGTGGGATAGTGGTATAGAGTACAAGAAGCTAGACTTGAATGGTACCCTCTCAGAACAAGGGTTTGAGGAGGAAAGTTACGATCTAGTCATCGCAGGAAATTGTCTTCACGTCGCTTCTTCTATGGACAATGTGATGTCTAGTGTCAGAAAGCTTTTGAAGCCGGGCGGAAGAGTTGTCATGATCGAAACTACTCGCGTAGTACCTTTCTACAATACATTTTTAGGCGTGTTTGATGGATGGTGGGCGGGTATGAAACTCCCTTTCTTGTATTATATGAATTTTGCCAGCTAATACAATGTTTCTATAGGGGTAGAAGATGGTCGGGTCGACAGTCCAACTTTGACAGTTGGAGAGTGGCATTCTACGCTGCTGAGACACGGCTTCGACGGTGTTGAAATAGTTGCTAATGATTTTGAGGGTAAAGCCCAACGCTCGGCAATGATGGTGTCCAAGGCAATAGATCGAAACGAGGATGTTGGTATAAAAGCGAATACTACTTTGGAGCTGGTCCTCGGCCCCAGCTGGACGGCTCAAGCCCCACAATTTGCCTTTGATTTGAGCTCTGGTTTCAGTCAACACGAATTTCATGTAAGTATGGAAGGCCTTTTGACTGCTCAGTTCCGCGACGACATCATATACGTGATTCTCGACAACGGATCAGACCCTATCCTGACAACGGATGCTTCTCCAGTGTTCGAGCAGGTTAAAGGTCTTTTGACAAATGCCAACCGAGTGCTTTGGATCAGCATTCAAGAGAATCCTTTAGCGAATCTGAACCCAGAGAAGGGAATGATTGCGGGACTAGCTCGTGTTTCTCGAGCTGAAAATCCGCTTCTCCATATTGTTACAATGGATGTTCAAGAGAGCGTCTTTAAAAATCCTGACAGGTTCATCCGAACCATCAGAGAAGTCGTTAATAATAATTTCCTTCATACCTCGAACTCATCGACAAAGGAGCTTGAGTACGTGTACAGGAATCAAGAGGTTTTAATCCCACGACTCATACCAAGCGCGAGGCTCAACGATCGTGTACAGCAGGCTTCTGGAAGAGTGACACTAAAGACCCAACTGTTTCACCAACCTAATCGGCCACTTAAGCTCCATGTACAGAAGCCAGGATTCTTGGATAGTCTCACATTTATAGAAGATAATTTATTCGAAGAGCCGTTGCCGGCCTCACATATAGAGGTGCAGGTAGAAACATGTGGACTCAACTTCAAAGATGCTCTCATAGCGCTGGGTCAAATCAATAAGCAAGTCCCAATGGCTGCTGAATTCGCTGGAGTCATCACCAAGGTCGGCTCACAGCATCAGAAGTCGTTTCGAATCGGTGACCGTGTTTGTGGCATTGGTGGTTCACCATATGCAAGCACTGTTAGGCTTCACGGTCATAGAGCCAGTCACATTCCTCTATCGATGTCATTCGAAGTAGCAGCATCTATACCCGTTGTTTTCGCAACAGCGTACCACGCACTAGTTGACATAGCGAATCTTCAGCAAAGTCAAACCGTATTGATACATTCAGCCGCTGGCGGAGTAGGCCAAGCAGCTCTACAAATCGCCCAAAATATCGGAGCAGAAGTGTTCGCTACTGTCGGCAATGCGGCAAAACGCCAGCTGCTCGTCAAAGAGTTTGGATTACCGGAAGATCACATTTTCTCTAGCAAATTGCGAACTTTCAGAAAAGGCATACACAGACTGACCAATGCTAAAGGAGTCGATGTTGTTCTAAACTCCCTCTCCGGTGAGGCACTCCAAGAATCATGGGCTTCCATCGCAAGATTTGGCGTTTTCGTCGAACTTGGTAAAGCCGACTCTCTATCAAACACGGGCTTGACTATGGCACCGTTTGATAGGAACGTGACATTTGCCTCAGTGGACTTGCAGTTGATTTGCGATTATCGCCCCGAAAAGGTTGCAAGTCTCCTGAAAACGGTTTTAAATTTGTTCAGCGCTGGCACTTATCATCAGATCAATCCCATTACGGCGATACCCATAACAAATATTGAAGAAGCTTTCAGGACTGTACAAGCACGAGAGCATGTCGGCAAAATCATCCTGGGGGCAGGTTCTAAAAGTTCAGTGTTAGCACCAGCGGTAATAGCTGATGATTTGATTATCTCCCAGAAAGGAACATATTTGATAGCCGGCGGACTTGGGGGGCTTGGTTTGGAAATCGCTCGTATGATTGCCACCCACGGGGCGAGACACATTGCTCTACTGTCGCGAAGACACTTGTCTCCATCCGAACTTTCAGGACTTGAGGAAGAATTCGAATCTCTGGGAGCGAAAGTTATTGTTTTGACTTGCGATATTACCGATCTTTCAAAGTTGAGAGACTCGGTATCATCGTTCGGCTCTGACATGCCTCCAGTCAAGGGTGTGGTTCAAGCATCAATGGTCCTTCAGGTAAATCTGTCCCGGCTTCCAGCGTGACTTTATTAATATACTACAGGATTGCGTGTTAAGCAAAATGGACCTAGAAGACTTCAAGGTAGCCACTGCACCAAAGTGTACTGGGACTGCCAATCTGGTCAAAGCACTTGACGGACAGCCTCTCGAATTCTTTCTCATGCTTGCCTCCATTGCCAGCGTGGTAGGCAGTATATCCCAAGCCAATTATGCCGCAGGGAATAACTACATGGATACCCTCGCACAGAACAACAGCGTTACAGAAGCATCGACCACTCATTTTGTTTCAGTGGATTTTGGACCCATTGATGATGCTGGTACCATTGCCAACTCCCAACGAACTAAAGATGGCTTGATTCGACAGGGCTATATTTTACTGAAGCTCAAACAGGTGCTGGCTTTAATTAGCCACGCTATCAGCCACTCGGTAAGAGAAGACAAGAACAACCAAATCATCCTTGGTGTTGACCACAGATCCATCGTCGAGTCTGACAATGAATACACTCTCAAGAATCCCATGTTCTCACACCTTTCAAGAGTACAAGGAGGGCAGAGTGTAAAAGAGGATGGCTCGCCAGTTCAAACCATCGAAAACCTCATCGCTTCTACGCAAAACACTGCTAAGATCGAACTTCTAATATCGGAGGAAATTGCAAGAAAGATCTCTAAGCTTGTAGCTATAGATTACGAAGAGATTGAACTTGAACGCCGCATGTCCGATTTTGGACTGGACTCGTTGGTTAGTATCGAGTTGAAGAATTGGATAACGCAAACCTTCAAGGCCAAACTTCAAGCTTCGGAAATAGCAGATGCAGCTAATATTTTGGCACTGGGTAGTATAGTGGCTTCTAGATCAGAATTGATCTCTAATGAATCACCAAAAATGAAATCTGGAAACGGCGACCATACCACAAAACTCAACCAGAACACGACCGTCGCTGTGAAGGGAAGTAGCGGAAATACTATCACTCTGCCAAAGCAGCCATTACCAGATTTGGACCAGTCTCTAGATCAATTCTTGGATTGTCTTCTTCCGGTGTTCACTCCCAAGGAATACACGATGTACGAAGGCTATGTCAATGATTTGCGAAAGCCTGGTGGGTTTGGTAGAAAACTACAAGCTCGACTTTCGCAATTATTTCATGATCCTCAAGTTGATAACTATCTCAGTGGCTTCTACGCCACCAATATGTTCTTGAAGAACCGCCAAGCATTAGTCCCCTGGCTGAATTTCTTTGCAACGCACTTCATGAGCCCAGTTCCGCATACCGCAGCTCAGAGAGCAGCTATCATTTCAGCATCGGCATTTCAGTTCAAACAAAAGCTAGAGTCTGGTGAAGTAGGTCATGAGTATCTCAACGAACAACCCATTAGTACAGAGGCGTACAAGTGGTACTTTAATGCTACACGCGAGCCAGGAAACCCGATAGATGCCATGAAAAAATATCCAGGAAATGACTATTTGGTGGCATTCCGTCGAGGGCATGCTTACAAGATTTCTCTCCGAAATGGGGATGAAGCTACCTCTTACACCGCACTTCTAGATGCTTTCCAACGTATTTTGGATGCTGACGAAAAGCCGGAATCATGGATTGGAGTATTGACGCAGGACACACGAGATCACTGGGCCGATGTAAGTCAAATTGTCCGTCGCAGTATTTCTTGTTGTGCTAATCCTTGCTAGACTCGTACTGAGCTCCAAAACTTAAGCAAAGAAAACAGGGCTTGGATTCATGATATTGAAGCCTCTGCTTTTGTTGTCTTCTTGGATGAAGCTCGACCCCAGACTGCTTCCGAGCGTGGGCCGCACTTTCTCCATGCAAATGGTCGCAATAGATGGAGCGACAAAACAACACAATTCGCCATTTGTGACAACGGAATCTCGGCCACTATCGGCGAGCACACTATGTTTGACGGATATACATTCATACGCCTATATGATTTCGTCTGTAACGCTATTCTGACCTTTAATGTTCAAGATCCTCCAAGATCAGTTGGGGAATTACCGTCCGCAATCAACATGTCCGAAGGTTACACATTCACGACCTCTCCAGCAATTGAGAAACACATCACACGCATCCGAGCACAACTCACAAATGACGCAGCAAAATTCGAATACCGAGCCTTCGAGATCCCCACCATCAACCGCAACCTCTTCAGTCTCCACAAATGCCCACCGAATTCCGGTGTCCAGCTTGCCATCCAACTAGCAGCGCGTCGATACTGGGGCCACAACCCCATTTCCATTGAACCAATCTCCCAAAACCACTTCCGCAACGGCCGGATCGACTTGAACCTCACGGTGCGTCCTCCCATCGCGGCCTTCTGCGCCGCGGCAGCGGACCGACAACCTCCCACGGCCGAATTGCGGAAGCTATTCTTCGATGCTGCGCGTACACATGCCAGTAACGTAGCGACGGTGTCGCGGGGCCACAGCTTCGATAGACATTTCTTTGCGCTGCAATCGGCAGTCCGGGACGGCGAGATCATGCCGGCCCTGTTCACGGATTCCCTGTACAGGAGTAGAAAACTTCCGCCGCAGCTCATGACAAATTGTCTTGCGGCTGGGGCGCTTGAGGGCGGTGATGTTTTTGATCATCCGAATGGAATGTCGATCAATTTTCAGACGCAGGAGAAATTGTTAGTCGTACCCTTTCCTTTGCCTTGAGTACTTTTGGCGCGAATATATTTACTGATCTTTTCCTTGTACTGTAGTGTGAAAGTCTCTATTTGGGGACGTGTTGGCACGGTTGATGAATTTAGAGAGATTCTAGAAGAGAGTGCTAGGGATATTAAGGCTATTGTAGGGATGTAGCCTGTTTTGTCTATTAGATTCTTTTGCTATTATATTTGCTTACTTCCGCATTTGAGGGCACATGCTCCATCCCCTTTTCGCATCATTTTGGAATAATATTTGATTTATTATTAAGAGTCATGAAAAAAGAGAACATGTTACATTTCACGTGTTACACGAAAACCTTGTCTATCGTCGCTGTGTCTCTTCTCTACTTGTTGCATTTGCTTGAACCCTTCAATCATTCAAACAAATTATCCTCTATAGCGACAAGACAAGAACCCAAAGGTTGTAACTGGCAAATACAGCTATGCGCAATTACCGCGATTAGTCTGTAATAAAACACTCTATTCTAGGCAAGCAATCAAAGACGCACGCTATATATTCCTACTGTTCTTATTATTCCTACCGCACAGCCTTTCTTACCCCTTCATCGCAACAGTTTCTACTAGATTTTGATATATCTAATACTAAGCACTGCTGACGTAGCAGCTACAGCATCCGCGACCAATCAATCGCAACTCGGTCCAAATATAGTTAGCGCCTCTCTGGCCTTGTTGTCTAAGCCGCTGGCCGACCTCAAACGACGCTCACATCTTAAAGACGAAGTCGTGAGTGAGTGAAATGGATACTATTATTCTCCCGGTCTTATCCCCCAAAAACACCCAATCAAAGCCTAGCCTTAGTGTCAATGACACTCTCCTTCGACTTTTTTCTGTGCTCGCAACGCTTCGACTTTTGAATCGTATTCTGCCCCGCCATGGCCCCGTTCTTATGCTTTCGAAGAACCTCTGCGTCAAAGTTGGGAGATTAAAACAGCCTGCCGAAGAAGCAACGATGCAATTTGTCGCCAAGCACACCTTGATTCCTGTTCCCAAAGTGCATTGCGCCTTTGAACGGAAAGGATACAAGTATATACTAATGGAGAGAGTGCAAGGACATATCTTGAGAGACACCTGGCTAGAACAAAGTGCAGAATCCAAGCAGAAGATACTGGCACAGATTAAGGATATGGTCTACCAAATGCGGGCCATTCCCCCTCCTTCGGGTCAGGGCATATCAAACGTCGCAGGCGGACTGTTGTTCGATGGTTGACTCTCTGGGGGGTCATATCATGGGCCATTTAATACTATACAAGACTTCCACAGATATCTGCGCGAAGGCTACGAAGGCGGAAGAGAAGATGTGCCCGACGCAAACAGGCTTGTGGAATGGCATACCCAATTTTGCGGCAAGCCAATATTCACACATGGGGATTTGAACACAATGAACATCATTGTTCGAGGAGACAAGGTCGTCGGGATTATTGATTGGGGAACAGCGGGATGGTGGCCAGAATACTGAGAATATACTAGTGCATGGCATGTCGATCCGTATGATGAGTTTTGGAGAGAGGTTGATAAGTTTCTGGAGACAAAGGTAGAAGAACTGGACATGGAGAGGGTGAGGAGAAAGTTCTTTGGGGATTTTTAAACATTTATTTCTGTGACTCGGTTATAGGGGTACGCGATAGATGGAAGGCGCTAGTCTCGCTAAGAAAAGAGGTGGTGGTACGTGCCTTTTGAGGTTATTCCCAACTAGTACTCAAAACCTATATGTTAATAGTCTACCCCTCCGAGTCAAATATGACGGGTCTTCTGCTTTCGCGGTCAGATCAGAGAAAGAAAGCAAGTGTTGATTTTGTCTATGCAACAATTCATCATCATGTTGAACTCTGTTCCCTCTCGTCGGCTCTCCGACTACTCTTCCGGCCTGACAAGCGTAAATTGCCACATGCGAATCCAGGGGCTTTTCTTTTTACTTCCTAGTATGTTTATTCATCCAATCGATCACTACGCGATGCCACTGCAACGAGTTCTCTGGCTTCAGCACGAAATGCCCTTCATCTGGAAAACTCAAGAACTTGCTCTCTACTCCCTTCATCCGTGCGGAAGTGAACGCTGCAAGCCCCATTGTTGGGGGAGCCCGCTTGTCAAGCGCACCATGCGTGATCAAGATCGGCGTCTGCCACCGATGCGCGAATTGTGCCGGATCCCATTTCTCGAAGACCTTGACTATTTGAGAAGGGTCACTATCATAGCCACCGAATAGCACTTTCCAAATCTCTGGTACGTCCGATGCGTATAATGCAGCGGCATTGAACATGCCAGCATGGGCCACCAAGGCCTTGAAGTTGCGTGCGAATGGTTGTCCAGCGAGCCAGTAAATTAGGTAGCCGCCGTAACTGCCCCCTAGTGCGACTGCGTTGCTAGTATCCGCACATTTGATGTGTTGTTCGATGTATCCAAAGCACTTTTCGATATCCTTGTAAGGACGGCCACCTATCTCGCGAATGGATGCCTCTTTGAACTCCTCGTTATAACCTACAGAACCTATAACAGAGTGTCAATAACTAGTGGAGGAAATACAATTTCAAGTAGTGCATACCGGTTACATCAGGACATACTACTATGTAGCCTTCTTCAGCAAATAAAACCGGATTCCAGCGAGTGCTCCAGTTGTCTTGCCACGAAGAAAGGGGACCGCCATGGATAAGAAGGGCAAGAGGGTATTTTTCAGTTTCTTGGAAGAAGGATGGCTTGATGATCCATGAATGTACTTGATAATCCCCATCACCTTGGAACCAGCATTCTGATATTTGATCTCTGTTGAGTCCAAGTTCTTCACAGTCTGTAAGAGTAGACAGAATATTGAAAGTGTTGGTAGACGGGTGCACAGTCAAAAAAGTGCTGCTATCCACAAAACCTGTCTTGCTGACCAGCATTCGTTTGTCGGAAGGCGAAGAGGAGTAGTTGCATATATTTGAAGTTGAACCAAAACCAAAGTTGAGGGGCGTGGGGATATTTTTCTCGATGGCTGAACCTTCATAATTTGGAATGGAGAGCTGAAACACTCTCTGGCGTCCCGTGTCTGCGGCAGAAATGAAAATATTCTTCTCGTCATTACTCCATGTGAGTTTTTCAGGATTAAGGGGCCAAAGCTCTTCTACGATGGGTCCCGTATGAAGGATAATCTCTTTTGTGGTACTGTTTTTAGAGACGTTAACATAGAAAATATGATTTTTACTGGTCATTTTGGCTCTGTCTCCGTTTTTCAAAAAGGCGACAAACCCACTTGCTGTGATAATGGGAAGTGTGACAGTTCCAGAATATTTCTCCGTTGTAAGTTTCCGTAGGACCACGTTTGTTTGTGGTTTTGGTGACTGCAGGTATGATATAGGAAGGAAAAAAGCATCAGATGTCCAGTTTCTTTGTTCCTGTTCAAATTGATTTCGCGTGCGTCCTGCAAAGACCAGGCCTGAGGGAGAGACATCGAGATTTGTCGGCCCCATCATCACAATGCCTGAGTAAGGAGCAAATGTTACTCCCGTGTCCCTGATGATATCCATAATATGCCATGATAAAGTGAAGTGAAGTTCTGGCTGGCTTGCATCCACGTCAAATCTCAAATACCACAAGACTCTTTCCGTTGACGAATCAGCGATCAGGCCTTGACCTGGCAGAAATGAACACTCAGTTGCTGTCGAATAAGTTGAAGGTGTCGCGACACCAGTCTTTGGCCCGAGAGCAACAATTGCAAATGCATCGTCTGTCAAGCGAACGATCTTCTGGGTTGATATCAAGCAATCAATGAGACCAGCCCGGTACGTTCTTGATGGTTCTTGATGTTAGCCATCAGGTATAAAAGATGTAGATGATATGTACCTCTTCCCAGGAGCAGCAGCATCATCAATCCAAAGTTCGGTCGTTCCAGCAAATTGCTTTTGCCAAAGAACATCTGAGCCGAATCCTGTCCAAACATGACCAGTCGACTTGGTATCTTGCGAAAGAAGGTGCGATCCACCACTTCCAAGATCTAGCACATATACTCCCGAGTTGTTACGATGGGTGTCGAAGGAATAAGCTGAAAGGCTGAACAAAGCGTGCGTTCCTGCTGGGTTAGGGGTGGCTCCTGATCGGCGAGGTGCTGCCAGAAAGCGACTGCAACCAGTTAGGAAGTAGTCACGGGCAAGTTCTTTCCAGACTCACGAGGTATCGGGCTTTTGGTGGTCATTTGACATTGTGAACCTAGGACAAGTAAAATATGTTCCTAAGCTTCTGGGAACAGAGCTGAGGCCTCGGTCTTTCTCGCCCTCGCTTAATACAGACACTCCCTGGTCCAATTCTGCAGCTCATTGCTGTGGCTGCACTTCGTCTTACAATGTAAAATTTCTTGTCGAATAGGCTGTCCCTCGTTAGCATTGGATAAGAGCTCGCAAGCCACTGATGCATACCAGTCTCGGGTGTTGGGACTTTTCAGCAGGCAAGGGGGGTAAACGTCTGCATGCCTTCCGGTTAAAAAGGTATGCATATTATAGGGTATAGCACGCAAGAGATATGTATTGTTTCCACGAATGCACCTTCCCGATTGATAACATGTGGCACCCAAAATCAAACAATCCTACACATCCATAAGGTCTTTTTTTAGAAGTTTATTATGTTGTAATGATGCATATACTAGGATCCGCAGCAATAAATCTTGTATATCGTGTTGATTTATATTGCAGAAGCGCTGTTGCAGGGGTTATGGGTGTCTCAGCTCGTGGCCTGTTACTGTGCAGTGCTAACAAGTATCATACACATAATATGATATCTAGGATGCATAATAAAAGGTACCATTCTGCTATAACACGCTTTATGTTTATTGTAGCTCTATAGTTTTAGTGAGATTTTAAACAGCTTAAGACTCGTTTGCCTCATTAAGATCTCCTAAGAACTCGAGGCTTGATTCCCAAATTTCATTTCTATACTTGCCAACATCGACTTAAATTTGAGATGAAGATATACAATACTTGATAACCAAACACCAAGCCCCTCTAAATTTCTGTTTATATCAATCAAGCAATGAGTTCTCTGTCATACGATCAGACGAATGTTAGTAAAACAATATTTTTACCTCTTATTTTTGCTGACCTGCAGTATAGGCGCTAATATGGACGCTGGGCGGGCTCGCTATTGTTCTTACAGTAGGCCGTCTGCTCATACGCTTGAAATTAAACAAGAAACTTCATTGGGATGATGCTGCACATGTTGTTGCGCTGCTTTGTATGATCCTGCACTCTGCTATTTATACTGGCGGTCGATCGTTAGCAGAGGCAGTTCTGGCATACCGAGCCAAGAAGACTCATCACGTCCCAGACCTTAAACTGTACTTACGGTTGAACATAGTAACTGCAGTATTTGGATTCACATGTTACTGGGCCGTGAAGCTATCTTTCCTGCTTTTCTACCGCATGCTCTTTGGGGTCTCGAAGGCTTTCATGAAAGCGTGGTGGGGAGTTTCTGCATACGTCTTGATTACGTTCTGGGTTGCAATAGGGACATCACTTACACAATGTGGAGGGAGTGCCTTCAAAATAACCGATCCTGGTATGTATCTATTGGGATGCTCTAACTATTGATGCAATCGATGCTAACTCCACGCCAGTTGCTTGTGGCTCCAAGCAAAGCGAGATATTAGATTCGAAAATATTCAAGATCTGCTTTGCGGTCAACATAACATCCGACCTAGCAAGTCAGTAAAACCTGTTCTTATTCATTTCTTGCACCTACAAAGAACTATGGACTGACATGAGCAATATAGTCATGGCTCTTCCGCTTGGCATGCTCTCGAGACTTCAGATTCGAGCGGTTCAGAAACTTGGAATCGCCGTTATTTTTTGCCTCACATTCGTCATAATCGCACTCGAAATAGTAAGATTGGTACAATCTCTCAAAGGAACAGGTCAATCTTGGAATGTCGTATGGACAAACACAGAAACGAGCGTTGCGGTCATTGTATCATGCCTTCCAACGTACAACACACTCTTCCGATATCGAGAAAGAGTCAACGCTAGCAAAGCTTCATCTGCATACGACAGACTCGCTGAGTCAAAGAACACCAACAAAAGCCAGAGCACCAAGGGCTTATCTGAGACCCCTTCTACAAAATCCCAGAATGATTCTGCTCGAGATATCCCGCTTGAGCAGTATCACTCTTACAACGTATAACCTTTCGATTTATTGGTTACCTTGATGTATTTTTCGGGGGAAGGGCAAATCCAAAGTTTGGAGGTCGACTCGACCATGGAAGAAATAAAGTTTGGTCTGGGAATCGTCACATGTCCGTGTGAGAATCGGCAATGAATACGAAACTATTGCTTGAAAAACGTATCTGCTATGCTGACATATTCTGAAGTAAAGAAAGGACTCTTTTTGACTAGCTGGACTAAGAAGAAAACATCTAGGGGGTACATAACTTGAATATATTAGGCAAACTTTTACTATACTATGTAGCTAAGTTGAATAGTAGATATCTTGCGTTGTGTACTATAGAGCTAGACTGTTGTAGCGGAAATCTTATGCTGCATACCAGGTGTGTAATATAGATGCGTCTTTCAACTAGTCTCGAGATGATTTCAAGCAAAACTAGTATACTCTATATCAGGAAATCTCTACAGACACTTCTGTTATCCGCTCCCTATATAAAACCGTGCAAGTACTTTGGAGGAGGAGTTTTTCCGCGAATCAAGTCGTCGTATTCATAGCCTAATCGCCTAAGTTATGCACACTCGGAGGTATAGGCCAAAGGATGTAGGGATATATTTTGGTAAGAATTTTAACTTTGGAGCTAGCCTAGCCAATCAAGACTTGATCCTCGTAACAATACCAATAAAGGATAAATACCGGGGAACCTCCGCGAGAATGCATTCCTCACACCCTTTTCATTTCCTCCGATAAAGCGCCGATGTGATTGACTTGCTCGGTAGGTCTCCTGGATTCTGCTTTTACTATGCTAGACAAATTCCTTTAGTCGTCATTTTTGCAGCATCAGGGCAGTTTATCCAACACCACAGAGTCAGGAGTCTTCATGAGCTCGCCTGTGCCACTTGCCGGCGCCCGATGTTCTGCATGCCACTCCCATACTGCGCCCAGGTTCCGACATTTGTGCACAGTGTTGAAGTTAGGAACCGGGTGTTTATGGTGCGTCAGCCAGTCGTAGGTGATGACGCCAGCATCTGCATCGCACATTAACTTTTGGCGCAAGTTGTCGGCACAATGATCTACTCCTGTCAGTTTGTACTGGTACTGATGTGGAATATCCAGTTTACCAATGTGCTTTCTATAAATAGAATCCTCTTCCTGTGATCCTTTCTCTGTGGTGTTGTAGTAACTGGGCCATGTATTTTGCCACAAGGTATGCTGCAGCCAGACATATTAGTTTTGCGGATGCTAGAGTCGAGGTCACCCTTCAAAACTCACAAGGCAGTGGAGTTGATGGAAGACTTCCAGCCACGCCATGTAACCGCCTCCGCTATCAGGTGGTAACTTGACTGAACTTTCTGGGGCTCCGACTTTCAGAAGCTCATCGTGGGAGATGCTGAAAGCACCGTCTATGATATCAAAATTAGCTTCTCCAAGTTGATTTGTTCCTTTTATGCTTACCGGACATCAAGTCATACCAACGATTGTCTCTCTCGGGGGAAGGCATTCCTGTGTAGGGACTACCACCAAATACAGTACTGTTGAACCTTACATCCTGATAGTCATCACTTATAGAACCCAGTACTGGCGCTATTAGAAGTAGTAGGTTAATTAAGATAGATAAATCTCATAGAAGCTTCTTACAGTATGTGGATAGTTTCTCGACACAGTTGGGTTCTGATGATCGTCGTAATGCAATGACAACTGAAGTGAGAAAAAAGAGAAGCTGTCCTGCCCAACTCCATACATGAACAGCATTCGAAGATCGGGCTTTCGGGCCATATTTTTCATCTCCTGGGAAGTCATATGAGCTACTCGAGTCATGTTGGTCAAGCAGCGGTAAAGGAGATGGCCATGCTTTCTCAATTTCCAGAGACATAATGAAGAATAAGTTATCAAGATCTACTTTGGCGGAGAAAATAGAAGTCTGTGAATATGCCACACAGGATTACCAACTTCATCAGTCTACTCTTTGGCTTGGGCTCAAAGCTCGCTTCCAACGGCTTTTCGGCTGCATCGGACTAGAATTCAGAAGAGGTAACGGAGGATGCACTATATTTGCAACGCAGATGCTCGACAAGGATGTTCCTCGTGCTTCTTGCATCGATGCTGAATGTATAACGATATATGCTAGCATCATTTAGGCGCTTCCATTGCTGCTCACTAGTATTAATATGAAGCATTGCTTTCATTGGATGTTGTTGCCCAGGGCTGTGCCACTCTGAACTAAATATCAAGATACTCGGTCAAAGTGACCAGAAAGGAATCAGAAGGCTAAATCTGCTACGGATAATAAGACAACCTACATGCGGCACTACTTAACATCTTATCAGCTGCTATAGTTGGAAACCCACATATACTTTTACTTCGCAACTAAACTTATCATTACTCCTGGACTTCTGAATCCCTAAATCATATGAAATTCGGAACCAAACTACCAAGAAACCAATTGATCAATATGCTTTCCAAGTACCTTCTCGTGATTGTCGGCGTTGCCCTCTTTGGGCAGACTTTTGCAGCTCCCGTCCCTGATACCAATCTCTGGTAAGCAAATCAGTATTCCAATAGAGTTAGGGTCTTCTACTAAAGGCCACCAGTGCGAACCTCCCTGAAACAGATGGGACTTTAATTCCCGCATTCACCGGCGACTGCAGTTACGCGGAGGATGAGAAAAAATAGGTGCTTGGAAGCCGAGGTACGGTAAGTCCAAAGTACATCCCCTTGAACAATACTTACGATTCCTATAGTCTTTCCTAGTATATTTTTAGCTAGAACTACCTGAAAATCGCTCGTTGTTGCAATATAGGCAGTGTTGTGAGCAAATGTGGGGAAGGCTTGAATAGTTCATGTACTGCATTTTCTTTATGTTCGGAAGATCTTCCCAACTCAAATAACGCCCAAATAACGAGATAAACAGTTCATAACTTACACTCATTACAAATGATCGACTGTCACTTTTTAAGCCGTGAAATCATTGCAAGGTTGGTGGTCTAATATATAAGACAGCAAGTCTTAGGCTTCATCTTCGATTGTACTACATTCTATCTTATGAATCGTGTTTTTTTGTTAGTCTTACTTATTATTGCCATCATTACTTTCCGGCACAGAATTTAGCAATAGTCTAGGACTTACAGAAGCACGTGCAATAGAATCCTAATAGAGTTAATTCCCTCACGATTCAAAATAAACCCGGGCAAATAGTAAAAGTATTGCAGCATACCTAGTTGACCCTACGGTTGCAAATGCTCCATAAAAACCCTGTCAAAGCTCTATCAGGTTAACGGCGTCTTGAAACTAGTCTGACAGGGTTTTGATAGAAGAATCTGTATGACTTTTGGTGTTTTAAAAAAGTATTGACATAGAGATCCTAATATAACATTATACACTTTCTCTATGTCAAAACCCCGTCATTCTATATGATATAGTAGTAGAAGGATGTCTGCTTTTCACTATAGAATCTACTTTAGAATGTCCCCTTCTGCCCCTGCCTCCTAAAATAGGTAAAAATGCCACTCTTCCCAGAGTCACCCGTTATAAATATCTGTTTTCATAGGAAACTAGGTTAACCAGAGGAGTTGTAGAGGCTAGCAGAAGAGTGGGAGTAAAGACTTACTTACCTGCGGGCGCATAAAAGTAGAAAGGAGGTAAAGGAAGAGTGAAGAAAGAGAAGGGAGAAAGTGGAGAAAACATGAATAAAAACGATCCCACGCCTAGGCTAAGTGGGTACCTAATTTTATACCGTTCTACTACCTACAAAAAGGTACCCTGTTATGCCGCATATACCGGGAATTAAGTAGTAACAAGTAAAAACAGGTAACAGGGAATGATAGGTAATGACAGGTAATGACAAGGAGATCTAGAGTAGAACTAGTAGGTAATGACATGGAAATCGCTGTTATGATCGGGGAATAACATGGTTTTCCCCGTCATAACACGATTTTTCGTGTTATGACGGAGCGTTTGCAATCGTAGGATGAGCTTTCAAGTATGATCATAAGAGTTTGGCTTATCGTAATGAAACAAAATATGTGTAAGCTTGCAAAACATCGTCGAATCACAAACAGAAGCTCAATTTCTACAGATTGACAGCGTAGTCCGGTTCATCACTCATCACAACAGCGTTAAGCGTTTAATGATAAACATCATGCATTGTGACTCTAGATCATGCTTGCAAGAACAAGCCCGACAGGCCTACACGACACAAAGGCTACTAAGGTTCCATCACTGTGAATCTACAGTTAGGACCAGCCGGAGCCCCACAAACACTGCACCATTGCTCCCATCTATCTTCCCACGCCATGTTCGCTGGGAGGGTTGTTGGATGTCCACACAAACCGCATGTCATTACTATCCACATCGCCAGGCTGTTCTTTGGGGTATGAGGTGTTAGGTCTTCGAGCTGTGATTTTGGTATTGAACAGAATCAGATATCGTAGTTGAGAAGTTGATCTTTGTACTGATGTACTAGTATCTTGTATCTGGTATCTGATGTCTTGTGTATGATGTCTTGTGTATGATGTCTTGTGTATGATGTCTTGTGTATGATGTCTTGTGTATGATGTCTGGTAGTGTGTAGAGTGTGTGGTGTCTGATGTCAATAGGTCTAAGTTGATGGAGAGAGGCAGATGTTTTTATAGTAATCTGGGGTGCATTTGCATCATGGAATCGAGGAACGATAACTGTGATCATCGTGGAATAACTCAGCATAACACGTATAACCTCGAGGCAATAGTGTTTGAATCACTGGACGTGTAAGGCCCATGCTGGCTGCTCCCCATACTTCCACCACGGATGTGAAGGGTCCGCAACACTTAGTCATTCCTCGTCTAGTATGCGTAAGCAACGGCTATCAACGGTCAACTGGAGTGATTATTTTATATTAGCAGACTGGGCCTCCAGGTATGCTTATCTGTGATTCTACGCCATGGTAGCGCTGAAGAAGTGCCCATAAGCAGTTAAGAGACCTATTAAGCCATCGCGCTCCTTAGGGAAGTAATGTATAGTTGGTTATACAGTTATATATAAAAAGGATACTAGAAGGAAGGAAGTTGCTAAGATATCAGAGTACCATCAGAGACTTTCTAGTCATATGACTACGCGTGGACAATCCAATTCATCACTCATCACCATACTATAAAAGACATTTCTTCAAGAGAAATTTCATGTATTCCGACTCTAGACTATTTTTGAAAGCAAAGGCAAGACCAGCTTACTCGGCATAAAGACCACGAAAAACAATTCTCCATGGCGCATTCATATCCGTAAAGCGAGCATGTGACTCAGCCCACCGTTACATACATAGCACTTGACGTTCCATCTATCTTCCCATTCCGTTGTGTCCGGAAGTCTATCGGCGTGTGAACATCTACCGCATTCGAAGATTATCCAAGACATAACTGCGTTGCCTTTCAAGACTTTAACGCCTATGCGTACGTGAAGGGGCCTTCTCAATCCTTTGACAATTTCTTCTTTATGGGACTCAGGATGCGGTTTGGTTGGTGTATTTCGGTTTAAAGAAATTGATGAATGGGGGTTGATATAGAGAAGGAGGATTTAAGTTATAATATGAATATGAACTGTTTCCATTGTTCAAAGACAGTCTAACAGTAACTTCTTCACTAAGAGAGGTAATCTAAGACAAGCTGATAACAAAAAGAAACAGCTTTTGAAAGGGGATGATCCGCTTTTATTCATATAATAGATTGCAACAATGATAACATCCCAATAGCGCGAATAGAAGCACTCGCAGAATATGGATAGGAGCTTTACGTTATATTGGTATCCGGTGAGTTTATTCAAATGGGTTATAAGCTTCCGAATAACGGTAGGAATGGAAGGAAACCTCTATTGACAAGGGTAAGGTAGACCGTTCAACCCTCATAAAACCTAATATACTAGTTTGACGCAGAGGTTTACGTTGCATAGAACAAGGGAACGATACGGCGGTCTATATATACTAAGTGAAAGCTGTCATAATCCCTACTAGGGTAAGAAACACGAGGAATAGTAGACATAACTATACTATAAGATCTGCTACTTTGAAGCACTTGTTCTATTATATTATTCGGGTCTACTCTTTTGAAGGAGACGAATCAATAATATCGTGGCCAAGAACACGTTCTAGTATAGATGCTAGCTAACGCATCGAGCCACCTGTAGACTCTATAGAGCCATCTCCTTTTGAAACCACACTTATATACTCATGCATATTGGGCAACTCTTACTATTTACCGCCTTTAGGCAATCACATCAGCTTGCTCGCTTTCTTCGTAATCCGCAAGCTCGCCACTCAAAACACCTAATTCGGGACTAACAGCTTCTTTGGATCTGAGAGTCATGACCGCACCTCGCTGTGCAATGTCAATCAGTCTCTCTTCGAGTTTCATGCCCCTCGCCAAGCCCGCGATAACGACACCAAGGAACGTGTCACCAACACCATTAACACTAACTACATCCGCGACCTTCTCCGCAGCAGGGAAGAGACGCATGTATACACCGCCTATTTCAGTGCTCTCGTTCGCGTTGCGGGAGAGAATGAACGGAGCTGCATTTGGGTCTGTAAGGCGAGGATCACCCGGCTTGAGAAGCTCGGTCATGAGGACACCTTCAGCGCCCAACTTTGTTAAGATGGTTGGGATGAAAGGTAGGAGTTGAATTGTCTGTAGTGGGATGCCATCATCCGTCATCTTGCGACTGGTAAGTGCGACAAAGCGATCGCGGGCACCGGTGGAGGGAATGCCAAGGGCGTCGATGACTTGCCACCATTCGTCGGACTCGAAGTAGTTGCTGTCTTTTGCTGCGGCGTGCATGGCTGCGAGTTCGTACTGGTTTGGCGTTGATAAGTCGATGAAGTGGAGTGGAAATGTTGGTATGAGAAATTTATACTCGGGTTTTTTATGAAACATCCGAGCTGATTTTGGGATTGAAACGGGCTCATAGGCGATTTTAGTGGAGCGGTTGTCAGACGGCCATTTGATTTTCCGCAACAGGTGCTCCATCCATATGGGATGCCAATTTGCATCGACGACGGCCCATTTGGGGTCTTTTACTATTGCCTGTTCCCAGGTGTCCGGAATCCCCCAGTGCTTCAGATCAGTGAAGATACTCATGTCTGCCATGGCAACTACAAGGTCTTTCTTGCCATCGTTTACGGCGACATATTGAGCAGTTGGTGTGCGATTGCCTAGCTGATTTGTTTGAGATCCGTGGACCAGAGATCTGTGGACCACAACGCCGGTTGCATCCAAGCCTTCATTCTCCAATGCAGCAAGTACAGAAGTTCCAGCTCTGAGATATATTAGTACATACGACAGAAGACGGGGAGAGTAAGAAGACTCACGGATCGTCAGCTACTCTACTACACAATCTGACTGTCAAGTTCCCAGCTACTCGGTGGGCAGCGAGCGCAACATTATGGCCAACACCCCCAACCGAAGTAGTGATCTTGGCAATATTTGACGTGTGAAGTTGAGGTGAACTTTGCGTTTGGAGGTCGAGAGGCGCATTTCCATTGTGGGTCTGGGTTTCGGGCGAGTAATCACATGAAACGTCTTGCGCTAAGGACCCAAATACTAGGATATCTGCAGCCGGACGATGTGGTTGGACTTCCGACATTATGTCTAATGATGCAGATAATGAGCTAGGTTCCTTAGTCTGACCATGTATTAGCTGATTATGAATGACTGACAGTAGTTGATAAGAAATTGGAGGCTGATAAGGAGAAGGGACATACAACTTACTGCTTTGGGAGCGGGCTTCCTTGCTTCGCCTAGTTGTTCGAGACTCGCAGGTGGAGCGGAATTAGAGAAGTTCAGGGCTTGTCTCAGCCTGGAGAGCTCAAAAGCAACCTTGGTAGCCATGGCCACATTTGATTCGATCAAAGCCCGATTAGCTGGAATACTGCTGCCCTTGGTAAGCTCTTTGATCCTGGACAAAATGAACGGTGTGTTCAAGTGCCCGTGGAATCCCAGTTGCGCGGCTTCTTGGACAGCCTGGTCGATTGCGAGATCAATATCTGCTTTGGGAAGGGAGAATTCTTCTGGGATTGGATTTGCGAATAATATACCATTCCTGCGCCTGAATGATAGTTGTGCGTCTAATTGAGTTAGTACTGCATTTGAATGAACATAGGAGTGATTAATTACAGATTATCGCTGCAGCTTCCTTCGCGTCTTGAACAACCAGGGGACTCTTAATACCGCTCTCACGCGTGTAAAAAGCAGGTAGGTCAATATCACCAGTACGGCCATCAGCGAAGGTACAGACTGTGACGCCCTGTGTCTCTAGATACTCCAAAGTTCGAGGGATATCCAGGAAGCTCTTGCATCCGCTGCTTATTACAGCAACTGGTGTTCGGCCGAGTTCGGTAAGGTCAGCTGATACATCCATGGTATTTTCACCACCACGATGGACGCCTCCCAGGCCGCCAGTTCCAAATACATCAATACCAGCCTGGTTTGCAATCATCATCGTCGCGGCAACAGTGGTACCACCGTTCAACTTGCGACCCGCGATTCCCTAGAAGTTATTAGGGCAAATCAAGGGCGTATATGACCTAGTAGCAGGCATGGGTGGAAGGTATTGGAGTCCTAGAACTCACCATGCCGAGGATGTAGGGGATATCTCTTCTGGACACTTTCATGGTCTCAGGCTTCCCAGCAGAAGAAGCTAAAGCAGTAATCTCCTCACTACTGAGGCCAACCCTGATAACGCCGTCGAGAACACCAATTGTTGCGGGGATGCCACCATTCTTGCGAACTATTTTTTCTAAATCTAGCGCCAAGGCAACATTTTCGGGATAGGGAAAACCATGGGTGTAAATCGTGGACTCGAGCGCTACAACTGGCGTTTTATTATCAAAAGCTGTTCGAATCTCTTGTGAAACACGAAAGAGCTCAAGTCCATGTATGCCATATTCTTTTTCTCGAGGATAGACAGCGCGGATGTTAGGTTGCCCCGGCGAATGCGTCTGTCCCGAGAACTTATGAAGGGATTCCTTTTTGGTACCGTCTTCGTTTTCACTAGGTTGTTTCTCCGCTCCACGAAGACGTGCTGCTTGGGAAAATCTTTTCACGGGCCAGCGATTCTGGGACCATCGACCAGGGCAACAGGTTCGACGGATCATTTTGCCAGGGCCAGTTTTGGATGGGACGTGCCGCTAAGGATCAAATTCGAGGGAAATACACGAGATACCTTGAAAAAGTAGTGACATGTATCATAATGGTGAAAAGGAAGGTCCCAAAGGAAGGCGGAAAGGGAAGGGAAGGACAGGGAAGGAAAGGGCTATCAGTAGACGAAAGAGCAGAGGTTGATGTTGATATTGAGAATTGCACGTGATGATAACTCTAGCGAAATAAAGCCAGCTAAGCCGAAAGAAGACGTGACCTCGAGCTGCTTATATGAGACTCCTCGTGTCTCACCCAACATCAGATATCTGCTTGGGGGCATTGCAGGCACAAACCTCTCGGATCGATCCGAACCATAACCATGCATGGCTAGATTCCAGGCATGGTCATGTAGCATGCTTGCCCACGCATAGACCGAGTCGTCCGACGGATCGGGACAATTGCGAGACGGCAGGTTCATTTCCATGTCATATATCCAAATGGGTATATCATTAAGCTGCTATTAAACAGCAGCCTGCCCTGTTTTCTAACCCCGTCTTCCCCTCTCCTCTCCTCTCCTCTCCCCTCCTCTTCTCTCCTCTCTCCCCTTCATTTTTTGATCTCATCCCACCTCGCGATGATGTTTCGATTCAGTCTCCTTTTCTCTCTACTGGCACATTGTTTGAACGCGCAAAACATTATCAATGGCCAGATTTTCACGCCTGGAATCGCCATTGTGGATGCGCCGCAGCCTAATACGCCACTAGGTGGTGGTATGTTCTTGGTTTCTCTGTGGAAGTATGCCTGCAGCTCGCTGACCTCTTAAAGATACGTTGCAGGTAGCTCTTGACGTTTCTTCCGACGGGCAACTGCAGCTCCCACCATACCCCGCGAATCCTGTCTCTGCGATAAACAACATCACCATTTACCTATCGAGTTACACGACGGGCAAGAACTTCACGATTTCGAATGGCACTGCGGGCGCGGGGAACGCGAGTTTAGGGGCGATCATGCAGCAGGAGCCCGGGAGCACCGTCAAGCATGTCAACTGGGTATGGCCGGACTGTCTGGTTGGCGATGGCGACCCAACTGGGTCCAACAGCTCCAGGGGTGTTTACAATGTATGTTTGGGAAACACTGGAAACCATAATGCACACAGCTGATGGAGGCAGATATCCATACGCCAGAACTTTCGATTGAACGGAACAGATCAGTACACTATCTTTGACCTCCCGATTCACGTCACGAACAATATACCCAAGGAGGGCATTCGACCGTCTTGCGATGCATTGGATAACCCTCTGATAGACGAGGAAGCACTGGTTGCTTCTGCTAATAATTTCACCCGCATAGCTGGGACTGCGATACAGACAGGTGGAACAGGAGAGGGATTGGGCAAGCCAAAACCGGATGCACAACCTAAAGACGGATTAGGTGGTGCAGGCGCCGTTGATTGGCGGACTGGAATCTATTGCGCCTGGCTTGCCGTCTTTGTTTTCATGCTTACTCTTTAGAAGAGATGTGACCTACGAATTTACTAACGACAATGACCTGAAGTCGAAAGATTTTGTTCTGTCCCCTTCCGCTGCCAGCGTATCTACATGTGAGCCTTAAATAGGCCAGAATACCCATTTAATTTATATCATGTTATTATCATATGATTCTATAAATACTCAAGTCGACCTAGGTATACCTAAGTAGGGTAAAGATGGGTTGGGTAGTCTGTTGTTTAGCGTGGGTTGGGTTGCGTTGGATAAGTACCTTTGGC